AATATCCACTTTCTGTTTGCACAAATTTTATGTTTAACATTTTACAATTAAATATCTTACAACTTTCTCCTTGTGTATATTTGCATGAACAGTAGTAGAGCTGGTAGTTCAGAATAACAGCATGCCATTACAGAGCTAAGGTGATAAACTTCCAGAGAAACTGCAGCTATGAAACTAACATGCCTTCAAAGCTGGTTCAGAATATTGACTAACAGCCTTCAATGTTAAACTACCTCAAAAGCATTGTCAAGGTATTTCCCTTAGAATGCTTTGCACTTTTACAAAACAAACAGGATTCCAAGTGTGCCAAAATTAGAACTGAGCAATTCTCTACTCTGCCCTGCAAACAGCTGATGAAAATCACCTTGTCTCTGAATGATCCTACTCCCACCTCTCCACTACCACTGCTCTTATCTACTACCTACTACCAGCACCCCTTTCATACCTCCATTCCTGCTAATAAGTTCCATCCATCCTTGCATGGTTCCTGGCTGTTTCACCAGGCTACAAAAGCAGTTGACAAGAATGTTAAAGCATGGCATTAATACAAAACTGCAAAGGTATTCAAGGATAGGCTATACATGCACATGGTGGGCATGTCGTGAGCGGAGCCGGCTGGAGCTGGGGGTCAGAGTAGATGGTCCAGGAGGCCCCTTCTGACTTGCTCTGTTTCTATGTTTCTATGTTTTCAGGATACAGGGAGAAAGTGGGTGAAGGAGGGAAATAAACAACTCGGGAACTGAGAAAACAAACCACAGTTTTGCCAGAATCTTGTGCAACGTGGCAAGCCACAGTTTAGCATTATGTGCAAATCAGGTCACAGTGACCTTGCCTGGATGACATTTATTTAACCCACAATGAGCCACAGGACCTGAGGGCACCACTTAGCATAACCAACCCTGCCTAGTTGCTGCATTATTTGTAGCCAGAAAACTTGGCTTAGACAAGGATGAAATAAACACATACATAAAGTGCCATCTGTTTTAGGGTTATGCAAGCATAGCTTCAACCTTGTTCCCCAAGTACACAAGACATGAAAACCTCTAAGTTGAGGTTGGATATGCAAAATGGTGACCACACACATCATGATTTCACTGTTGATTAAACCACCCACAGTGGGCTGTCATGTCAACTCTATCCAGTTTTCCTGCAGTGGCCAGCCAGATGCCTGTGAAAAGTCCACAAAAAGAATAGGAGTCCACAATAGCACCTTCAGGAACTGGCACACAATGGCATATCGCCTGTTACTCGCAGATACATACAGCCATCAAATCTAGTAGCCACTGAAAGCTTTCTCCTCCACAAATTTGAATAATTTTACAGTTGTCCACGTTGGTGGTCATTGCTAACTCCATCTTGTAATAGTGAATTCCATAGTTTAACTACATGTTGTACAAAGAAGTCTTTCCTTACATCTGTCCTGAATTTCCAACCATTCAGATTCATTCAATGACTCCAAATTTAATGTTAAAGGCAGAGGAGAAAATGTCTTCCCATCCAGTTTTCCCAAATCATACATAATTTTATACACCTTCACACTTACTCACATTACTCACCCCATTTTCTATGCTAAAAATCCCCAAACATTGTAACCTCTCTACATACAAGAGATGTTCCAGCTCCTTGATCATTTTGGTTGCCTTTTCTGCACTTTTTCCAGCTCTACAATATAGCTTTTGTGGTACAGTGAGCAGAAGTGTGCACTATATGGTGACACAATACTGACATATAAAAAAGATATTGAAAGTTTTATTTTCAATTGATTTTTGAATAACCCTTAACATCAAATTTGTCCTTTCCTGAAAACTGAGTCAACATTATAAACAAGTCACATGAACTTTTGGTGAGACTTTGTTCTACAATCTGCTAGCTAAGACCCCCACCACCATGTGTGAAATTTGGATTTTTACTCAAAGCTGAATCACTTTACATAGAACCACATTTGCCATTTTAATACCTGTTTCCCACTTTTTGAGAAATCCTTTTGGAGTTCTTTGCTGCTCCTTTTGGTTCTAAATATCCTAAACAATTTGGTGGTGTTAGCAGTCTTGGTCACCTCACTGTTTACCTATACCTTCAGGTCATTTTTGAACAAGTTAAAAAGCACAGGTCCCAAAACAGATTTTTGGGAGACTCTATACAAGAAGTGTTTGTTTTCTCCTCCTCTCTGCTTCTCTTTTCTTAACATACCATTATATAAAAGGTTTTCTCTTACCTCATGACTGCTATTTTTGCTCAGCAGTGTTTGGTGAGGGTCTGTGTCCTAAGCCTTGTGAACATCCAGGTAAATAATGTCTATCCAATCACTTTATCTACACATTTGTTGAGCATTTGTTGACATGCTCAAAGAAGTCAAACAAAATTAGTGAGGCAGGACTTAGCTTTGCAGAACCCATACTGAGTCTTCTTCAGCACAACTTCATCCTTCAATATGCCAGATAACTTTATCTTTAATCGTGCCTTCCACCAATTCTCCTACAGCAGACATTAAGTTTACCAGCCTGTAGTTTCTAGGATTCCTTTATTTTTTAAATGGTTACACACTGAACACTTTCCAGTCCTCTGGAACATAAATTAATTTCAGAGTTAAGCTACAGATTCATTAGATCAGTAATTTTAAAATGCTCAGATGAATACCACCTGCAGTTAGTGATTCGTTTGTTTTTGATTTGTCAATACATTCCAGAATTTTCTTCTATTTGCCTTATCTATTCATATTCCCTTCTTAAAATGTCAGCTTATACACAGGTATCTGTCCCAAAACTTCTGCACTGAAGACAGATGAAAGAATTAATTAAGCTTCTTTGCAATGTTCTTATTTTCCAGCTTTCCCAGATTGACTCAGAGACTTCTAGTATTAGTATAGAAATGCCAATATAGGGGGGTGGGAGTGGGGGAGGGCTTGTTTAAGCCCAAGGAACAAATTCCATTTCAGGAAAACGTTTTGGGGGAGGGTACCTTTCAGTGATGAGCAAAACCAAAGGCAAAATAGAAGGGCCAAAAATACCAGCATATTTTAGCTTAAAACTGCCAGTAACTAAGCCTTAAAGCAGGCATTTCAACATGTCACAGTAGGGGAAAAACTGCACCAAAGCTGGGAAACTATCCAAAAATGACTGGTTAGGGAAAAGGGAGGGCCTCCTGAGGAGTCCCAGAGAATGGGATTAAAACCCCTCAGAGAGCTACACTTTGCCCTCGGCCTCAGATTGTGCATCTCTGGCAAGTGTCCCTTAGCTTCTAAGTTGCTGAAGCTTTTGCAGGTGCCAACCTGATCTTGGTGGGCTATTAACTTGAAGCCCTAAAGCAACTCACTTTGGAGCTTCCAAAATAAATATTGCAATAAATTTAGCAATACAGAATAAAAGGAGTAAGCATTTTATTCAATCCAATGAAGCATGTTCTTAGTGATCCAGAGCAGAGTGTCTGTGTTAAAGCTAAACTGATATATATCAGTGTTGACTGACTCTTTTGGTACAAGAAAATCTGGCTCTACATAGTTGTTGTTTTTTTAATTACTGCACAGTAAACAGAAGAACTTTCTCCTACTTTGGTGCAAACTTCTACAACTTATTTTGTTAGCAATATAACCAGAAATGTATCATTTACTTGCAAGATTACATTTATCCACATAGCTGACACTGTAAAAATCTACTTGGCTGGAAAGTTAACATTTCATTTTGCAATCCCTCTGCTGATCCATCAACATATTGTATGGATATGGTCTACCAAGTATTTTTTTGTAAGAACAGCTTGAAAATTATATGAATATCTGTAAAGAAGAGCTACCAAGTGTCATGAATTCTTACTATCAGTGAAATGGCTAATTCAATACTATGCACATTTACTCAGAAGCAAAACCCAAGGTTCAGTGGACTTTATTGTTCAGTGGAATAATTATTTGCTTTCTGTTCAAACACTTTTACTTAGTCAAAATTATGATGCTAAATTTGCCAAATGTAGTATGGGCACGAAAGACTAGCTTTTCAAGGTTAATATAAATACAAAACCACTTAATATTTATGGAATTTTATAAACTGGCCTATGTATGCAATGTTTTGGGTTATAAATTCATAGGTCCAGCATACTTAAAAGGCAAAAGGCACAGCACCTACATATACAAAACTTGCCATAATCTACCCCAAGTATAAAATTGTACAACAGATATTAGATCCAGAGCAGCCATGAAGACTATCTAGTGAAATCATGTGCACTGTATCAGATTTCTCTATATCCAAACATTCACCCACACAAGAAAATACATACTAGTGCTATCTTCATCATACCGGAATTACTTGTAAGACAAGTAAGGAGATTCTCTCCAACAAATTATGTTGTACACTAATCTCTAGAAGAGGGTTAAAACCAGAAGCCAGCAGCTCATTTGGGAAATAAACTCTCCATATATGTCAATCAGCTGAAAGCAAAGTTTATCGTCAACTAACAGATAAAATGAAGGCTCTACTTGCGCTTGAGCACCTTTTTACTTTGACCAAAATCCTGCCTCAAACTCTTAAGCATCTACAATGCCTGTGACGGAGGTCGGCACAGTCTGCCGTCCGTTCCAGACTCAAAAAGAGGGCAACATTTAAGTTTTATGGCTTGCGACACGTTCATGCTAGTAATGATGGACTTGCTCTCTCCTCTCGCTAAAGAAAACAGGCTCGAGCGTGCGCTAGAAAACAAACGAGGGGAGACCGAGGTGCGAAGCCCTACAGACACATTCCTCCTGCGAAAACTGTTCACGCGCAGACCGGGCGCCCAGCCCACTCGACCCACCCTCACGCCGCACAGGCACGAGGCACAGGACGGGCTCGTCAGCGCGGGACAAAGTTTCTTCCCTCCCTCAGTGGGGCGGGGGTGGGGCTCGGGAAATAAAACCTCGTCGCGGTGACAGCAACCGCGGAAGGCGGCGGGGTTTGAAAGTTTAGCCAACATCGGAACCTCCTCCCAGTCTCAGCTCCCCATCCCACCCCTTTCCCCATTCTCGAACGAGGTCTTACCCGTCCTTGCGCCGCGCTTTGTAGACATGCCCATAGGTGCCTCTCCCGACTTTGCAGCCCTCGTACTCGAACAGATCCTCCACCCGTTCGCGCTCGGCCGCCAGCTTGGATTTGAACTCGTAGTCCATGTCTCTCACCCATGGAAGGGGCGACTGAAGGAAGGAGAGAGGGAGGGGGAGAACGGGATGCTGCGGGGGGGAGGGGGACCGGAGACGGCCACAGAAGCGTCAGGCGCAAGGGCACGAGGCCACCGCACTGGGCACCATTTCCTTGTTTTGGATTTTTGGGGGGAGTCCGCTCCGCCGCCACCCGCTTCAACTAGAGCTTCCAATAGTTAGGGTCGCAAGGGATTCTGGGTTTGGTAGTATGGGAGGAAGCGCGGGCTCCAGGTTGTCTGGGAAAAGTTGAGTTAGCAGGAACTGCAATACCCAGCGTCGTTTGCAACACCGTAGCCTACAAGCGCTTGCGCATTCAGTATTCTCTCCGGTTATTGCTGAGCGGGTGCTGGGAAGTTGCTGACTCTTCACGTTGCCGGGCAGTGGCGGAGGAGTAGAAGATTATTCAGAAGAAAAATAATGGAGTCCGATTTAGTTTGATTTGGTTTGTTTCTTATCCAAAACGTCCTGCCATCACTCACAAAAATGGGACACGGCCGAGTTCAATTTGACGGGGAGTCGCGCTGGGGCTTGTTTATCTCCTGAGCGGTCATTCAGGCTGGAGCCCCGCCTTGTAATGCTTTGCTCATCGCCACTGGCTAGACTGCTGCCCGCCTTCTAGCCGTCTACCACTGAGGTGGCAAGAACCCCGAAAGGGAAACGCTGGGTCCTTTGTCAATCAATTGAAAGGCTGGAGTTTTAGGCTCAGTGTTAGGGGTAAGGATTGTGGCTGGAGCTACTTTTCCCCTCCCCCAGCCCTGAGACTCTACAAGGCTTCGTGTTTCCCGCCCTTCCCCCTCTCCTAACATATTGATAATGGCTCTGGTCACGTGCTCTACACTCGTCGCTGCTCGCGCCTCCGCTGGCTGGCTTGACATTGCGCAGCCTGGCTCCTCTGTGAGCTGAGCGGCGGAACACCGGCAAAGCGCCGCTGAGGAGGAAAAAGAAGATAAAAAGGCAGCAGGTGCACGTTGCCAGTCTCAAGGGCTGGAAGGCGCTGTTCCGTCGTCCACACGTACTACATGCCTCACCTTCCGCGGACTACCCAATTCTTTCCAGAGGAAAGAGATCGGCAATACAGTAAAGCAGTTTCAAATCGATTGTTTTATACTCCTTGATCATGAAATTTGGTGGCTTCGAAATTAACCTGAACAAAAAAAATTGTTAGCAAGAGCCTGTTCATTTCGCGCCTACCAGCATGCCGCCTCCTCTTCCCAATACAGCTGGGAGAATTCTCTTAAACATCAGTTTAGATTTATTTCGTATGTTAGTCTGCGCTTAAGGCTTTTTTTCTTCTTTCGTCAAGATAGCATGCAGAAACTTGTGCAGGTGTAACTATAAACGTTAATAAAGCAAGAGTCCTCTGATATTTTCCCATTTGCTTGCAGAAGAAGATTAGAATTTCCAGTTTTTTAAAAAATTATGTACAAAGGGAGAATTTTCTACAGAGAAAAGGGCAGTTATCTTGTGTTTTGTAAATGCAAAAGAACTGAGTTTATGGACATTTTGCACACTTGTTGGGTATTGATACACTGGATCATTTGATCCAATATGGACTTTTTTGTGGCAGTTCCTTCCATAACCTCTTAATTCATCCGTGCTCTGTGAGGAAGAAGTGATGATTATTTAACTATAGAAAATAATGGGTAACTGTAAAGATGAGTTTTCTTCTTTGTTATGTCTATAGTCAGTCATCTGTAAACAAAGGATATTATGCACTGTCTAAATTAGTTCAGACCTGCATGGTGCCTGCAGTGTTACCAGAAGGCGCTGGCTTGCCCCCACCATTGCTTTTGTTTTGGGATTTCCAGTAGGGTGCCATGGGCACCAATGTTCCTGTGGGCATCTGCCAGGATCCCAGTTCCTGCAAAACTAGGGACTGTTCTCCAGCCAATATAGACTGGTGGCTCTGAGGTCAGTGGGGCAGTGTATCCATTCCAGGCTGCAGGCTGCACTTTTTATGGAGCTATCTCTGGTGCTGAATTTATTTGGTAGGATTAAAATTCAAGACTAAAATCCAGAGTAGATACACCACCCCATTGTCACTGGAGTCATCATCTTTTACTACATTGAATATTTAATTCAAACAATGAGCTGCATTTTGGAGTTCATATCTATCTTCTTCCTGAACAAATTCATTTTTTAACTCTTTCATTTACCTTCTGGGAATGTTTTGTGACCGATTATGCCCACCATGGCTGCCATTTCATTTGTGCCCCTAAGACACACTTAAAATTTCAAAATGCTCATTGATCCAAAAAGCCTGGCAATCCCTGCCTTAGTCCCATTTTGTCTGTAACATTTTCTAGCAAGAGTTACCATGCCAGGATAGAGTGTTTATAGAGCTAGACATGGCCAACCTGTATGATACAGACAAGAAAACATACAAGTTCATAATAGACACATTGAAGGATCAATGGATTTATTTATGTAATTTGTACCCTACCTTTCTATCAAGAAAAATTGAGCTCAAGGCAGTTTGAGTAGTAATTTTTTTCTAAGAGTTAGCTACATATACATAAGTGGCAAAACTGCCACTTAACTTGCAAGATGATGGAGGAGGATATACTAGTATATAATTTGTATATTTTCTTGGCTAGTTTTGTTTGAAGACTCCTTTATGCATTATCCTACAGACTCATAAGAAACATATCCTAAATGCTGATTTTTATGAAGCCAAAACAGTACCTTCCACACAAATGAATTATGTATAATTCAGCTTGAATGACTCACTGTTTGCAGAAGCACCAAACATTTTACAGAAGAAACAGCCCACTTAGAACTGTGTAACTTGGTGGCCAGGGAATGCTACTAGCAGGAGTGGGGCAGGTATGAAAAAATAGAAAAGGGAACAGAATGAGGTACTTAGAAAAGTGTGATTGGCTGGAACCCTGAACAGGAGGGTTCCACATTGCAAACCTTTGTTGTAGGTTCCACTTGTTCTCTTTTGTTTCTCATGGTCAGGCAAGTATGTAGAGCAAACAATATCACCCATCTACAATGTAACAGCAGACTCAGAGAAACCCCAAAGTTTTAAATCTTTAGAGGGATAAAAACCAAAACAATCCCCTGTGGTCTCTGTTGGACTTACCCATCTGAAAAGGCTTCAGATCTTGTTTTGTTTCTGACAAAGACCTGGGTATTAGTTGCTGAGGGACATTCTGGAGGGAGGGATAATCACTTTGAATATTGTTAGATAGCCTGGATCAAGTAAATTCAGTTCTGATTGGCTGGGGATTCTAGTGAGTTGAAAAAGCTATGATAGTTGACAGGAGTTTAGCCAGAGGGAGTCTGAGAAACTGGGAGAAAAGGTCTCCTGGTTGGAATATAGAGGACTAGGAGAAAGCTGAGAAAGTTAATAGCTAGTCTTTTTCTGTAGGATAACCTTAGGTGGCTGGAGAAAATCAGGAGAAGGGAGCAGTGGTTTTGTTATGCCAAGAGGCTGTCCTAAAATCTTGCCAAGGAAAGGTTATACAAGCAGACAGTAAAATGTCAGACAAACCATTGAAACAGCCAATAATACAACAGGAGGAGCTTGGGTGTCAGAGGAGGTTTGACCTTGGTTGAAGTGGTATTTGTCTAGGTTTTAGGTTTACAGAATTTTGCCTGTGGTTTAAAAAAATACTCCTCAGAAGCTTGTAACAGCAACAGTGCTTTCTGAGTCCTAAAGAATTGTCATTAAGCATCTTTTGAAAACTCTAAAATAAATATTAGTAATCCCTTAGGTACAAAATATACGTTGAATAAATTACTTCTTTCATTTAGACAAAACACAAGTGCTCTGGTTAGTCAAAAGGCAGATCATGGAATAAGGATTCCATCTTTGCTGGATGGAGTTACACTATTTCCTGGACTCAGGCAAGCATTTGGGGGTGCTCCTGGAAGCCCTGAAGCTGGATGTCCTGGTTTGGGGGGGTGAGGAAGGCTATTTATTCATTTCATTTTTAAATCTATAAACTGCACCAATACTCCTATATAGGACCCTAAGTGGGTTGGCAGGAGTGTACTTATACAGCAGAAGTTACTGCACCAATTGCACTCATTCCTACAAATGTCTGATCTAACCATAGTCATGCATGCCTTAGTCATATACCATTTACTCCAACATGCTCTTGATGAGGCTGGCTTTGAAAACTGTTTGGAAACCAGTGTGGTGTAGTGGTTAAGAGCATGGGATTGGGACTCAGACGATCCGGGTTCTAGTTCCCGCTCTGCCATGGAGCCAACTGGGTGACTTTGGGCCAGTCACAGACTCTCAGCCCAACCTACCTCACAGGGTTGTTGTTGTGGGGATAAGATGGAAGAGGAGAATGATGTAAGCTGCCTTGAGCCCTTTGTAGGAAAAAGGCAGGATAGCAATCGAGGAAAAAACAAAACAAAACCTCAGCTGGTCCTAAAGACTGCAGCCAGATTGCTGATTGGAACTGGTTACAGGAAGCCTATATCCTCCTTTACTGACTACTGATCTGTTTCTGGGCACGATTCAAAGGGCTTAATGTAACCTAAAAAACATAAAGTTTGAGAGCGGGCTACCTAAAACACTAACAAAGCTCCCTGTATTTTTAGATTTCATGCTTTGCACCATCTAATTTTGGGACATGTCCTCATGCTCAATTAATGAATAATTTTTCATGGTGCAGAACGCCATGCCTGTTTCCACAAAGTCAGTCCTGTTTCTTGAATGAAGGATCTACATTATTTCACCCTAATATATGCCATAATTTGTAAGCAATGACCTATTTAGAGAAGGGCTCAGTTCTCACATGTTACAGGCTGCTTGAATAAGAGTTGCCCAATTCTGAGGGATGGAGTGGGGCAGGGGACTTGGCAGTTCCAAGGTTACCTAGTGAAGATTCCCAGGCAGAGGGTAAGAACCAGCCCACCTGGGAAAAGGGAGAAGACATTTCAGAACTGTGGGGGAACGTGATTGAGAGGGAGTGCCTTGACCCTGTCAGAAGATGACAGGTGACACAAGTGGACCAATTATGAAGTGTCCAGAGTTCCTGCCATCTAGTCCTCAAGCAGCGGGAACCATCCGGCGGGTGGAGTCAGAAGATTTCTGAAAGAGAGGGAATGCAACTCTTTGCATGAGCTGATAGTTTTCATACATCTCAAGGAGATCGTTATTTGAATTCCAGCAGGACCCCATATCTGCTGGTTCAGTTACCAGTTTTCACTTAACCATAGTTGATCTCAGTCTGAAACAGAAGTCATAAAGTTCCAAAAAGAAGGTGTGAAGTGCTTCCTTTAAGTGAAAACTCTCACTTTAATAGGGTATGCTGAGGTTGCTAGGATGTATGGTAGGAACCACTCTTCTATCTGTGAAATTGTGAAAAAACAAATGTATGTGTACAGTATATAGTGTTCACTATTATCCATGGTTTCAGACATCCACTGGGGGGCTTGGAACCTATCCCCATGGATATGGGGGTCCTGCTGTATACTGATTTGTAACTTATTCAGCTTTAATAAAAGAACTCTCCTTCTAAAGTTCCAACTGCTGGAAAAGACAGAGGAAGAG